TGAGCTTAATATTGGTCAATCCCCGCAGCACCGCTTATATTTTCGGACAGAGGAAGTAATAATCAAAAGTCACTACTGGATAATTTGGCGCTTTTGAGACCTTGAAATATTTGTCGATTGTCTCGCCGTGTTTCATGTAGTCTGAAATTCGGTTATGCTGGTGTTCATACGCAAAAGAAAATTATGTACATTTAATTTCTCAAGCCAACAGATTGATACAAATCGGTTTACGGCACTGTCGCGTGAAAAGCCACACGAATGACGCTGTTGTCATTGCCCTGTGTTGTATGCCCTCCGAAAATGTACATCGCATCATTATAGACAACTGCTCTGTGCCAAGCACGAGGAATTAATGGAGGATCACACTTGACAAGCTTCCAGGTCAGAGCATCTTCGTCTGCGTCGGAAGCAAGGATCGTTTCAGCAAATATGCAGCTTTCAGTGGTTTTAAAGAACATACCGCTTTCAAGCCCCAGTACATACGCATCGCCTTTTATACTCCCAGTATTGCCTCCGTACACAATTATCTGGGAGCCGATGCTAGCCCCCGAATGCGTGTAGCGTGATGCAGGCCCAGGCCCACGTATCTCAACCTTGCGCCACACGCAGTCAATGTGATCACTTTTAACGGTTTCTGCTCAACAGGTCTATGGTTAGCTTTACCCGAATCTCACGTGCAGTCATCAGTATCATTCTCACCAATCTCCAATGCGAAGTGCTGGGAGCGACGATATTTGCCATCATATCCTCCAAATATGTACATACGTTCATTGACGACACACACAGAATGTGTTGAGGACGGTCCAGGATTATCACCGCGAGGTTGGAGCTCTGTCCATGTCGGTATTTCAGTATCTGCCGGCAAGTAGCAGCATCATGTGAGAGTCGTTGCCTAAACTCGAACCACACGTAACAGACCGATTCGAAGCGCGAAAGTGTCGCTCAATCGGTGAGGGGGTCTATATCCGCCGTACAAAATTGCGATGCCACGCAAGACTGTGAGCGAATACCAGTAGCGCATTGATGGCGGAGTTCCGGCAATTTCTAGCTTTTCCCACTTCCATTCATTAGACTCTGAGATAGATTATTAGCTAGAAAGTCGTTTTATACGAAACAGGCGTGATTGTTCTCCAAAGGAACTTACTGAGGTGTACACGGTGCAATTCACTTAGAAATTTGCCGTCAATGGTTCCGCCGATCGCATACAAATTGTCGTCGACAATAAATATCTGAAGAAGGTTACCTGACTGTGGAGCTGTACCGCTTATCATCGGTTTACTCCAGCATGGCGCCGGCTGCGCTGCGAGATCTAAAATGTGTAAGTCGTTCAGCCGGAGGTTGCCGACGATGCCACCAACGACAATCAAGAAGCTGTTGTATATTGCCAGGCCGCAGTCGTATCGCCGATCTGGTGGAACGCCAACTGTCTCCACCGATTCCCATTCCATTTGAGCGATCGCAAGCTCCTCAAGTCTACTCTTCCGTGGTCTAGCTTTTCTCTTGCCCACCTGGCTTGTAGGAGGTCGAGTAGTCTTTGGCGTAGACTTGGCAATATTCTTGCAAGTCGAAAGTGGCTGGCCCGATTTTAAAGCTTGTCCAAATGAGGTATTGTTCACGCTTACAAGCGATCGCCGTGGGTACCTTGCACGACCCGACACGAAGCTACCGCTAATAGATGTCCGCGCTACAATCGGAGGTGAGGGGCGTTCGATGTCGGACGAGATGAAATCTTCAAGGTCAATCACGTCGTCTAAGTCGCTGAGATTATCCAGCTGCAGCGACACATTCGAAAGACTGTTACGATGATCTCTATTCATTTCGTGAAAGTTGATCTTGTTGGGGTAAATTTCGTCCGTGCTAACGATCGATTCTTCATGGAAGTTGGGCGAAAAGACCTGCCAGCAGTGTAGAAAGCATTATTAGCGATAACAGAAGCAAGAATTACGCTACGAACTCGCAGATAAATTTACGGCACAAAAGAAATGTGTACGTTTGAGAAGCTCATCAAGTGTGTCGCTGATTCCGAGGCTGAAGCAGTATCATTGTTGTCTGTCGTCAAACTTTGCTGGGCCTGCAGCGAAAAATCATCCATCAAAGAGAGTGATTGCTGCACACAAGACCAACAGAGAACATGGTCACAGTCTTGGCTGTTGGAATATTGGACAGAGCGGATACAAAGCGGGCATGAAGTGCTCTGATCAAAAGGCAAAATCTGATCGTGAGCCTTTTCTCGCATGACAAACGAACTATTATCTATCAAAAATTGCGGAGATGCAATTATTTCTTCGCTTTCGTCGATATTGACTTTTGTGGACTTTCCGTCAGTTTTGTCGACGGGATGTTGCCCAGCCTGTTCTTGATCTTTCGTTGTGCCCTCTCTATCGCCTCTTCCTGACAAGAATAAAGCCACGTTTGGCCTCGGGACGAGCGTCATTAATTCCTGGTGTGCGAAAGACAGAACAGTTTGATGATTGGCTAAAAGGGTTGAAGTTTCCTGCATCTATGAACAAAGAAAGTATAAGATCCAGATTCATCGCAAAAAATATATCCAGACGTCCCTCGTATAACTAATATATGTGATTGAGAAAATATCTATGAGTTAGTCAGGGTTATTAGTGATCCGATCAGTTATGAGCTAGTACTCGGCTACATACAAATCAGCTTGGTGGAACGAGCTGTTATTAGCTATACAAGGTTATGAGTTACTCGGAAATGGAAAATTGGGATGAGATCACGGTACTTTGGCAACAACGTTGGGTCTATCGGGATTTTACCAAATGAATGCCCTCTGAGTGATCTGCACGACGAAAAAATGCGAAAAAAGACTGCCAAAATATATCATCGTATGAAGGGCAGAGATATTCAATTTTGCCAATCTTGCTGTCATCATGGTGACAGCGCCGATCTCTCCATGGCAAAACTTTCTAAATTTAACATGCGGCTAGCAGCCATGTCTTTTTCTTTCTGGAGCCTTAAAATACTGAAATTTTGATACTTTTATATATTCGCAATTGCACCAAGTGTAATGTAAATTTCGTATAACTGCACCGACTCCAATACGGTATAACGAATGAGGGTTGAGCTCACGACATACTTGCCGCGATACTATTTCGCAGCATGTGCAGGCATCGCTTTTACATAATATCTAGTCTGCTTTCCATTTCAAAGGCGATATATGGCTAGAGTCAAGTGAAACTTGTATTTGATGTGTCTGCTTTACTATACTCAACGATTGGTATATTCACTGAGTCCATGACCTCTCCCTCATTAGTATCTGTCTATGAGTATATAATCTCTTGGTACATGATAGCACTCGCTACAATTAGAAAAAATAAATCGCATTGCCAGAACAGTGGTGCAAAGCACACACTGAATGTACACTGGTTGATGCAGTTCAAAAAGACCTAAACCTAGCTTTACAAATGGGATGAATTGGCAAACAATAGATTATATGAACACTTGGACTGTGAGAGAAATATTATAAACTATGTTTTCGTGATATGTATAGCTTGTCCTTCAAAGCACATGATTCATCAAAGTGAGCAGGACTAAGTGGTTTCTAGTATCTAACATTGCTCGCAAAGCTGAGGCATATAATTGATAGCCGTATAATAACGTAAACACTCTGTTGTCAACACTATCGTCCGCCGACTTGATTATTGTATCGGTGTAGTATTCAGCAGATTAATGATAAAAGACTTTGCGATACCTAGACTTCGTACGCGATACCTATTAAGATCACGGCTACAATGTATCGCCTGCGCACAACAAAGCGTATGCTCTACTTAGAGTGCCAGGACGCCGTTGAAGTTTGTGCAGTTGTAACATTCACAACATGATCGTTGCATACCCTTGTCGATTTGCTGTTGCCGTTTACTCGGTTAGCGAATGATTCGCTACTCGTTTGAGTGTTGTGTCTATTAATTGAATGTTCCTGAAATAAGATACAAACATAACACATCAGGTTGTAAAACTTATGGGTAAGCCTGTATGTATACATACTTTGCAGCCCGTAGCGTAGTGTCCGTGCAATGGGACACCTGCATGTCGACTGTGGAAGATGGAAGCATAGTTGTAGCTATACGATAAGCAAGCAGATACAGCACCGATGATACTACCCGCCAGGATATCAGCATAATGATGCCAGTTATCGATCGTTCGAGTGACAGCCACCCAGGCTGCCAAAAACGTTGGAATGAAGCAGAGAAAGAACTTCAGGAAATTCAATCCACCCCGCGTTATGGTCTCAGATCTGTTTTTGCAACTCAGTGAAGATCGACCAAGCAAATAAAGCTGTTCACATGAATCAAAACATTTATGATAAATTTAAATGATATACGAGCAGATTGCATCGATCCCTACCGTAAGAACAAGCATCGTCGCGAATGCATATGACGCGTGCCCGGATGGAAAGCTCTTGCGGCCTTCTTTTTCACCTGAGGCACTTCGGCACAAGTTAGTGACTCCATCCCAAACCTCATCATAGTTCCAGTCGCAAATGTCATAGAAACATGGACGAAAGCGTCCTGCCATGTTCTTCGTCAACAGCGTAGCCATGCTAGTAGATTGCACAAGCGTCAAGAGAAAATCACGTGTATCATGAGGGATAATTCGCACGTGGCAAAACTTGGGAAACACGTAATTAATTAAAAAATTGGTGATTACCGGGGCTCCGATGCCGAAGCTGACAAGGGAAAACATAGGAACTTGCTGCACTTTCGCCCTTCTATTGATTGTCGGATCCCGTACCCACACTGACATTGTTGAGTTTATTGGAACCTCGATGTTTGGGATTTCACCTACGTAAAAATCCAGCCCATGATAAAATCGCAATGTTCATACTACGCACTTATTACTGATGCTAACTTACGTTGAGCCACCTCAATCTTATTAAAGCATAGAGCAAAGCCGTACATGATCACCGTGATTGCGAACTCAATGACACGACAATTATGAAAAAAGCGTTTCCATTTGACACCGTCATTTTTGGAATGTAAGCATGCCACGGATGTAGACGATTCCAAAGAAGGCTCAACACACCGATTACCTGAAGATGCCTGAAAACTCCTGGGGCAAGCGCATTCGTCCGTGATTACTGCAACGCTGCAACTCATGAAAATTCAGTAGAATAGCATCCTCGCTGACGGGCAGTTTCAGATCGATAGAGCTTGACCGATACGAAGACGTCAATCTTGGAATTCTATTAATACAAATTTTGAACAATTGGTTGCCGGGGGCATGTGTGTTGCGGGATTCTGCATTGTTTCTAAGTTTCTTATGTCGGTGCAGGCGTTGCTTGTGTTCGTCTCGCGAATGTTTTTTATCACGTCACATCTGAGCAAATGAATTTGTTTCAGGCTTTAAAAATGTCAATGTCCGAAGTTGAGGCACATTGATTCGTTTGTGTTCTTGAAGAAAGATTTTTGGGACTCCTTCGCCGACCAAATTCTTTTTTCAGAATAATCTTGCCATTGAATCCGATCGGTTGAGAAAGAATGAGAATCGAAAGTCATTATCGAGCATACCATTAAAGTTGTGTCAGCTTTATTAAATCGTACTTAATAAAGCTAAAATTAACCAGACAATATAGACTACTGGTACTGTTGATCCTGGTACACCCGTATAATCAATTGTAGCAAATACGTAAATGAACAGATCACACTTTTGTCAGATTTGACCTTCTTACTTAAAGTGAAACAATGAAGTACCATAATGAAGCAAGTAATGGGGTTTCACGTACCCTGGTATGAAGGGTGTGGATTACACAATATGATGTGACCACACAATGGTGTGGATACACATTGCAGCGGGGCTGCCGTCTGAGAGGAAGCTAAGCTAAGGTCACCGACCTTACATTCTTCACAAGAACCAGTACGAGTGTAGCAGAACGCCATCCGCCACCTCCAAAGTACTTTGAACCCTTGGCCAAGGCAAAGACGCTTTTCCGTTCAGAATTGAAAACGAATTTAATTGTTTTCTTTGCGGCAAAACCGCCTATATCTAAAACCTTAGGTATTTTTAATTAAATAGTAAACCTAATTAATATGTATAACTACTGGCAGACCTGCCACGTAGTGGATTCTTGTAACGGTGTAGCCACACCATTGTATGATTATACCAACTTGTGTAATCCACGTCAATGTATGGTCACACCATCTTGTGTGACCCACCCTTTTATATGCAACCCGTTACACAATTAAACAGGAAGTCAGTACGTGGCTGGAACAGCCAGTCGTTTAACATTAAATTAGGTTCTACTTAAAGAAAGGAAAACCTATAGATTTAAATATAAGACATTTCGCCGAAAATTAAACAGAGAAATACAGTTAACGTTATTAACGAAAGAGTTAAATAGCCTTGGATTAAGGTTGTACACTACGCTCGTACTGATTTTAAGTATAGAACGAAAGTAAGAAACCTAAACCAAACTTCCTCTAAACGAAAGAGCTACGGCAGCCCTGCTGCGCTTGGTAGCACTTGTAGTCAATCTACACCTGAGTCGTCATGTCTGAGCCTCTGTGAGGGTGGAGCAGTTCTCTACATTGCCCCGGGGCATGCATGACGGGCTTAAAATGCTCTGCTTGGCCCTGAGGGTATGCAACACCTCGCTTTGCAAGAACCTGAAGCGATCAATGCTCGTCTAGAGGTATGAAAATGCTCTGCTAGAGCACCTACTGCAGAATTTGTCGGTGTCGACTGCGTCCATGACGCCACTGTCGACGCGGATTACTTTTTCCGGCAGTGTTTAGACCTTCGAAGGCAAATATGGAGAGGATCTCCTGCTCTTAGTGAGTAAGATCGAGATGGCTATGGCATTCGCCATTCTCTTGACCTGGCAACAGCGCGTGGCGATAGCTATCTCCAAGCTCAGTGGTCGAGCGCGAGAATGGACCCTAACGTGCGGCACTTCGGTCGAAGCGGCGTTCGCCTCCTGGATAAAGCTGAAACGTCAGCTTTTGCGTGTGTTCTCGCTGCCTATCCAGACATATAGCGTGCGATCGCGTTTCCTTGCCGCCCTACAAGGCAAGAAAAAATCCGTGAACTTTTTCTAAGAGTAGCGTACTTTCCTTGCCGTGATGGATTCCGATCCTTTTCCCGAGGCGGTCACAGCGACCGTCTTTATGGATGGCCTCCGCACTGGCTTGGCCAGAATGAAAATCTTCCGTGTGCACCCGTCATCTCTTAAAGAAGCGGTGAGCACGGCATGGAATGCCGAATGCAACTGAACATAGCACGAGTTGATTGGAATGCACAATCTAGCAGCTCGCCGAACGGGCCTGAGCCGATTGATTGCAGCTACACTGAGACAAAGGAAACAGAGCTTCGAGTTGTCGAGCAGCGCTCGAACACCCGAAGGTGCTTTGTCTGCAGAGATACCCGTCACCTTCGGATTGATTGCCCCCTGCGCAAGGCGCGTCAAGGCTCATCGAATCGACGTCCCGCTTCTTACCAGTCTTCTAATCTGTCACGGGGAAACGACAACACCCAGTAGGCGCGGGGTGGCCTCCCGGGGAAGAACTGAGTTCTGTTGATCCTCAAGTAGGTAGAGGTCGGTAAGACCTAGCCTTGAAGATGTCCGTGCTCTTGAACACGGAACGTTTATGCAAGTCGGGCTTGCTGGTCGTGGATGCGACCGTACAGGGCTTCGAGAAGCCATGGAAGATCCTCATCGATTCCGGGGCGTCGGGCAATTCTGCCTGACGCTCCACGATGGAAGGAAGTCAGCTGTATGCTGAGGCGCAGAAAGCGCGGTTGGGTGACATCGTCACTGTTTGCTTAGCGACGGGGACACGTGTCATGGTCCCGAAA